CAACAGCAAGTAAGCCAGATCAATCTTGCCTTATCCTTCCTCAGCGATATTAAAATAAAGTCAATGCATTGTATAAGAAAAAAAATATTGTGTAGTGTCTTCAATTTACACCATAATAAACCAAAACATAATAGGCCAAAGATAAACCATGGTGACTTTTCAGTCAAATTAATTTGATTGAAAAAGCTGTCAGAAACTTAGCAACTATGGAGGCGGAAGGTCAAAGAATAAATCTGAGATGCTCTGGTATCTCAGAAGGAAGTGTGGGAGCTGCACTGAGAAGGTAGCAATGGGAGGGCAAAGGCGATCTAAGAACAATTCAGTTCCCAGTGTGCAACACAATCCGTGCAGGAGGAGCTGCTCCGTGGGGCACAGGACGGGAGCGCAGCCCACCCTCAGCGATCTGATTACAGCAGTGAGGCGTAAGTTTGCTTTCCATTTGTGGAGGGCTTAAAATTTATTAGCTAGAGGTGATGATGAAGAGAAACTTTCTAAATAATTGAGAGGGAAAACAAAATAAGGGGTTAGGGTTTCACTCTTTCGTCATCCACAGAAACTCATTTACCTGCGATTTGAGTACGGAACTCAGCAATGATACATGTGGGCCTGACTTTGTGGTTTGGCTCTGAGACTGAGAGAGAAGGAAGTGAAAAATAATGGGAATGCATTCTACAGTCAGTGCTGCAGAGGGGCAATGATGATGGCAGAGATGGATGTCTGTATGCTTTTCTTCTGCATCACTATGTAGAAAGGAGAGAGCAGCTGCACTACCCAATGTGGTGCCATATAAAATGGTTATACAGGTTCAGTCTTCTGCATGGAAAGCACCAAACAATGAAATTGAAACATTTTAACATGCTGGGCTCTTGAATTTCCAGGAAAACTTTCCATCAGCAGTTTCAATTTTGACACAAGTCAAATCTGTATAGTAGAAACAGAATTCCCATTCAGCTTCTTTTTCACCTATGAAAAATTGTCTAACCTTGAAAATATGATATTAAAAGAAATCTGACTTTAATTACCTCTAACCAACCTTCATGCTTAGCTTATTTTCTCACTGGAATGCTGCTCTACATGTCTCCTTATATGATTTATATGATTTATATGACTAAGTAACTTGTTTGACAGTGACTGTTTACACCAGATAGTCATATTATTTAGACTATTGCAAATATAATGCAAATATAATAATTAAAAAGACCTCACAATGAAACAAAACTAATTATGTTTAAAAGCAAATGGAAGTAAAGGCTGTTTCCACTGGGTGTCTTCATGAAGAGCAGTGTTACCACATCTCCAAAGCAGCCTGCACTGGTATTTATGTCTGTTTGCCTTCTTGCACAAATTGCTTCATGTTTTACAGATGGTTCTTCTAGCAGAAAGTATATGCAAGTAGTTTTCTTCACAACTTTTACATCTATGCTATTTGTAGATTGAATAAAATTTTACTGAAACTCTGTCTGAAGTAGAAACCCTGATTTTAATTTTGATTCCTTGCCAAAACGTGGATGCTCCAGGCGGCATCATTCAAGCAGAGCTTGCAAACACTTAGAAAATGAAGTTGGCAGACAGTTGATAAATGCTTTGGCTCAAAATTTGGAATGGTCGTTCATGGCCATGCATTATTTCCTAGATTGGGGAGAATAAATAAAGCAAATTTACAGAGCTGCCTACTGGGGACAGACATGCACCTCTTCCTGTGGGATGATGCCCACAAATAGTTTGAAAAGGTTGCTCTTGAGAGACTTGGCACTTTTACAAAAGCGTGTCCAAATGCCATGGCCTGTGACAGCTTAAGAGGGCACCTAATTAATGAGCAGCTCTTATTATGAGTATTGGTTAAGGGAAAGGAGGGAGAGGAAAGATTGACCAAGAGATTGCAATAAATTGCAGGAAGTAATTATATAAGGGAAGGTTATTTTATTAGTCACCAGGAAAGCTACAGGCTGTTAATTTTAAATGCACTGGTTAAGATTTTGACAACTTAGTCCCACCCCAGTCATCCACTGGGATCAGTTAACCCATGGATGTAAACTTCACCTTGCATGTATATTTTTGAGCCAGCTAAGACCAAACTGTCCTACAACACTATGACCATACAAAGAAGCTACAGTTAATCTTATATACAGGACTTGACTTTTTAGGAATACCATAAAGGCCTTAAATAATTAGTCATGGAAGCCTGTTTCTACAGTGACAAATTCCATCAGGCTGAAGCTCTCCAGCAACCTTCTCCAAGCTGAGTGGTGTGTTTAATTTGGTGATCCTATTTGTTAAGAGTGCTTTGTGAGGCCACACTGTCACCAAGTCAGGAATTTTCTCACTTTGTTAATCTAATAATCTTAAAATAGCTCAAAGAGAACTTGGCCCAAAAAAAAAAGCCTGGGAACTTGTTACAACACTGTAAGCTATGTATTCAGGGACTGCAGTGATAAAAAAAACACAAATCTGAAATTTTCTAAACATTCCAGTGTTAGCTAGTTTCTGATTTCTCAACTACTTGCTTGTGTGTGCTGCTTTAATTTGCAGGACCCATGCAAATGAGGAGTATGGAATAATTCAGGTAAGTTGCTTCTATTGGAAATATCAAAAGAACTGTGCTTAGGTGCCCATGGGATGCAGAAACCTTAAGCCTCTTTTTTTCCCCTCTGTTTTCTATTGTAGTCCTTCAACAAGCTCGCCAAAGATTTCTTAGACGGTCCTACCAGTGGTAATTTCCAGAATTAGTCAGTCCAAGGTTCACCTTCATTGATAAATTTTCTACAACCCTTGATGCCTTAGAAATTACCGTGAGAACAGGCAATTGATGATCATGTGAGATTCCGAATTCTCACTGGTAGAACTGGTACCAGTAGAGCTTGTATGACTAGCAGTATTGCAACATTACTGGTGCCAAATTCTCCTGCCACTAACACAGTAGGTACTCACAAGTACTGTCAACAGCTCAGGGGAGTTCTTGATCAATTAAAAAATCTTTAGGAAGCAGCTAATCCCTGAAGTACAATAATATAAAACTGTTACTCCCCTGACCTCCTGGCTGCAAATAAACTGGGCACAACAAGGAGCAACCAGTGTACAACCCAATCTCATCATTTCTCCAGGGCTCACTACTCTTTGTGAATCCTATTAAGTCAGAATGCTTCAATAATTTTTAGGTCATGAATATTGACTCATCAAAAGTCACATTTGTTCCACTGTCAATATAATGCTGTCCAGAGCTGCTAAACTTGTTTTGTAACACAAACATGGAGCTGCATTGGTTATCACTGCATTGTAAAAACATCTTTGAAACAATCTAATTTTAAACAGAATAAGAAACATGAGCCTCCAAACTAATTTTCTTCAAAGCACATATCTTTTGAAAGTGCATAAACATTTTAGGGTTGGGGGTTTTTTGAGCTAACAGCCACAGAATGCATTCTGATTAAAGTGTATAATACCCAGTCAAATAACAGATCAAATAAAAAGGACACTTAATACATGTGTAAATAATTTGAATTACAAATAAGACACTCTAGAAGGGGCTTGGCTCTAGGTTTGATATGGAGGATTAGGCTCTTGTATTAATACGTGCACTTGGTGTAGCTATTTTCAGAAGGATACTTCATCTATCATTGTCCTCGAGCACTGAGGAGGGCCAGTAAGTAAAGTGATCACATTGGTCTGTCAACACTGCTTGCTTAAGACTCAGTCGTGCAAAAAGTTTAGTTTTCATGTCCCCAGCCTAAGAAGGTGCCGAAAATGAGTCATTTCTGACAGTTGCTCTGTTCTTGCCTTCCACAAAACCAGAAAATATTTCAAAAAACCTTGTAAAATGTTTATAAACTTGTTAAAAGCTAATGCTAATGATAAGTCAGTGTTAAATCAAATGCACCTATTCAAGCTACACATATCAGCCTGGAAGATCTTTCAAGTTAGATGGGAAATAAATGCTAATTAATGACTTCTTTACTTTCCATACCTAAAAGATTGCCTTAAAGATTAAATTCAGTTTTGCATTTTGGAATGCATTAGGGATGCTGTGTGTATAGCTTTCATTCACCAATATTTGAAAAGCACATACAGTCTCCATATTATGGCTTTGCAAAAGCTCTTTATATAATCAATGTCAAAAAATAATCACCAAAATTTCTTACCAAAACATACAGATTTGAAAGAAAAAGACAAGAAGAGCTATAGAAATTATGTTAATTGAAGAAGCTTATTTAGCTGAAATTTTCAAAATGGTGGAAAAATAAATATGAGCTTTTAAAAAATTATTTTAAAATAGACCCTGAATATTTTTCACCTTTTTCCTCAGCCTCTAATGGCAATTCTGTGTCTCACTAGCAGACTACATACTCAGTTTCTTTACTATGAACTTAATAGCACCACAGAAGGGGCCAATATTACTGACTGTAACAATCCTTCTGAAACATAAAATAATAATTTCTGTAATGTGGCAAAATGAAATATTTGAATTTTTTTTGAGCTGTACAGAATAACTTACTACATTCTACACATGCATTTAGATGTATAGAATATATTTTAAGCAGTATCATAAAACTGTTTCATAAGCACATCCTTCCAGTTCAATAACTATTAGAAAGCTTAATGAAAAACATATCAATGTCCTGACTCTTTAAATCGTAAGAAATGTTTTTTCCCCTCTTTTCCAGAGTTTATATAGCTTAGAAAAGAGAAACCACAAATTGTACAACAGAAATCCTGTAGTCTTTAAAAAATGAACACAGCATTTTCCTAATCAAGTATCTTCTCAATATCCATTCAAAGTCATAGTTTATTTTCTAAAAGAGACTGTGCTATAGCACTACCTGAAAGTAATTTCTTAGTCCAAAAAGATCGGTGACCCCTAACAATTTAGTGATGTTACATGGCTATTGTTCTCAATCTCATTTGTGGCTGATATCTGCAAGGTGGTCTAAAAGGTATTTTGTGTCTGTGCATACTCGTAATTCCTGTAACTAAGAAACGCTCAGGTAATGTTCTTTCATGCTTACCATCTTTCTTGGTGGGTTCTGGCATTGTTACAAGGATTCTTTATTCCCAGAGAGTTTCAGCCTTTCAGATGCAGCAAGTAGTAGCCCCAAGTCCAGCGGAGAGTGTGTGAGATCAGTGTGACAAGCAGAGGGTAAGAAGAATTCCTCTGCTTTATATACTGCGGCTGAAATATCAATCAAAATAGCACCTCCTCTCTTTTCAATGCAAACACTTTGAAAATTGACAGTTATGGGAAACCCTTCACATCTGTTGTCTGCAGCCTCTGCTCCCTTGGCTTTTGGAAGGAATCTCTGCTGCATTGCATGGAGCTGATGAGAACATCTATAACTTTCTAAATTCAGCCTCACAGCCTGCTCTCTGTGTCCCTCTCTGTAGCATGCAGACACGTATGCACACGCAGACAGAGGCTGAAAAAGTGACTGCCATGCTATTACAGAGCCCTTCCTGCCTACAAAACCTGTAGGAAATGCCTGTATACATTTATGCCTCTCCCCGCAACATAAAAGTGACAAGAAGGCACAGGCAGTGTGCCTGCAGTATAACCTCATTTTTTCCCTTTAAGAGAACGTGGTGTGCAAAGACAGAGTGCAAAGTAGAGTTTCTCAGTATTAATGAGAAGTATTATTGTGCTCCTGTTTTCAGCAGTGAAGATACTCTATATTTCCCTTTTGTTTACATATGTACACTTTCTTGGGTCCTTTCCCTGTAGCCACTCTCATTTTGGCATTGGTAGAGGCTATAATGTGTTTTCATCATGAGTAATTCATTAACTGGAGAGATTGCTGCTGCGAGTTGAGATATTCTCTTCTCCACTCGTCCAGGAGATCCAACGCTGCTTGCCTTTGCCAAGCCAGGGAACCAGACAGAAGGAATGGAAATCCTATCTGCAGCACACGCACAGAACCACTAAACTGAGCCACTGGGTTGCCCTCCTCTTAGAATCCCATTTAAACTACAAACGTAGGCAAGAGAAAGGCAGGTCAAAGTGATTCTCAAAGTGAATCAGACGGTACTAGGATTTACTTAGGGTAATAGGATTTACTTTCTTATGCTCTTTTAGGTTTTTGAGACAACAGTGTAGTAATTAGCACAATAGATGAAGTGGTCCTCAAAGTATTCATGCTATTGAAGCACATGTTCATACCATTAATCAGGTATCACTAAGAATTAGGCTACTAGAAAGACTCAGTGTCTCAGTGTATGAATGCACTCAAATGTAATGGAAAACCTACCATACATCTTTGAATAGGATTTGGAAATGTAATAGCAGTAGTGTGCCTGAGTATTCTACAGCCAATGCATGAGGGTTTCCTCTGCAATCTGTTTTTTTCCTGGCTATTTAACCTTTTAATAGACCTCTTATAAAGGATGGGCAATTTGTTCCTGTTTTAAAAGACTATCATCTGACTTTTTCTGCTCTACTCATTGTGGTGCTTATCATTTGACCAATTCATGTGCCTGTAAAACACAGAGGCAAGATTTCTGCCTACAAGAACTTAAACAAGGAGTATTAAAGCTATCTTCCTCCTTTATTTCACATCACTATCAAGGTAAAGCTTCACTGGTTTCTGAGCAAGTGAAGGTAAAGCTATCTGTATCACTGAAATAATTCCTGTTCCTTGGAAAGAAAGAGCACTGCTCTAGAAAGGTAACTGGGGGTTTTGTCCCTCTGTGTGAGTGGGGTGGCAGTAGGGAAGCAGTGTATGAACCCTAATAACACAGCAGAGATCACTTTTACTGCTCCCCTTTCTTCTGCCGGCATCCAGGCACTGAACTCTGTGAGGGCTGCAACCAGAGGTGGATGAGGAGCAGCTGCTGATGCTCTCCAGCCTGGTGTTTCCTCAATGGCCCTTTGTAAGATGCATGGATATTTTGCTTTGCATTGCACCCATCATGTGCCAAGAGGTGCTGAGAACTATGCCTCGAGAGATTCCTGTTAATACAAACAGGATTAAATTGTGGTCACACTCTAGTACTGATGGGTTAGGGAGGACCTCCACCACAATCTCACAGTGAGAAAGGATTGGTGGCAGGTGCTTCCTTTACAGCAAGAGGAAGAAGGATATTCAGAAAGACAGAATCTTATTCATAGTCTACCTTTATGCTACTAAATAAATCAGTACTGAGACCATATTTTCTGGACCAGTGAAAGTGTGTTGTTCTCATCTGCACAGCAAAACTCCCTCTCCATCCTTAAATTGTGAGGCTGCAGTCAAAATCTGTACAGGGAATGGTTATTGGATGTGCCTAAGTTATTTATTAGGTATGGGTGGGAGAATGCTGGCCGGTCCAAAATGGTACCAGGGAGCATCTAACCATCCCTCAGGGTTATAATCATAGGAAAACACTAGAAATCATGCCCTAGCTCTGCTTTATTTACAGGTATAGGCATGACAGAAAAATTAAATTGGTGCTATAACTTCTGGTAGGCAGGAAGAGAAGATTGGTTATGAGCAGAAAAAATAGTGAAGTATTATATTTGCATTTGTAGTCAACGGAAAGATCTGTGCTTCTACAGGTCTCTGTCTTGAAGGGCCAGCTGTGAGTGCAAGAAAAAGGCTCTTCAGCTGCATGAAGTAAATTGAAACTGTGGAGTAGAAGCCATCTGAAAATTTTCTCATCCTTTCATTCTTTCATACCCTTACATTATACTTGCATAATTAGTTGCATTTCATGTCATGTTCTCATTTACTCGGATAAAACATTCCTGTGTTGCAAGTTTCCTATAATGTAATTTTTAGTGGTGTTTTAGAAGGTGCTGCTGCAGTAGATTTCGATTGTGATATCTCAGTGTACCTTAGCACCAGCAGTGACAGGGAAGGTAGTTTATTTCCTAAGAAAGCAGCCCATATTTTATTTGTTTCAGTCTAATTCCCAGCTGACTTTTTGCCTCAAGCACCTACAGGTATTTCACACTCTGATCTAAGACAACCTAATCATTTCAGTTTATCTTTCTCCCTGCACTAATACTGTCACAACTGCTTGTGACATCTTGCTTGTGCTGCAACAATTAGTACTTTGGTGCCACTGGGACTTCCATTCTTATACTTCTTTTCCACATTGGTAGAATTCGTGATAGTCATCAAGCCTGCCTTATCACTGCATAGAAAAGATGAGTTGATTTTGGCAGACAATTGTCCAGGTTGCTTTAAGACTGCTAAAAAAAAAAAGAAAGAAAAATATTGAACAAGAAGAAAATGCCTGATGGTTATTTCTAAGCTTATGCTTCTTTGATAACAGACATGTCTAAAATATGCTTACAATTATCCATCCACACAACCTGTACATTCTCTGTTAGCAAATGATTTCTCTATTCATTTTGTGAACTTTGAAATTTTTACCATTTTTTCCTGCCATCCTGCTCTGCTTCCTTATGTGTATCAACCACTCACCTGATTTGATCACAGCTCATCTTGTGAAGGAGCTGAACCAGAAGAGGAAGCAGTTAACCCCTCTGTGCTGAACATGTGGTTTCTGAGCAAGTGAAAGGGCCATGAATCACCTCTGGACTCAGCCACAACCCTATTTACCAAATGACTGAGCCAAGCCTTCACAGAAATTCTGAGGTGGAAAGAGCTGAGCTCCACCTTGTTTCTAGCCCATTGCCTCTTGTTTCTGTACCTCAGCACATAGAACTAAAGGCCCTGGCAGCCCCAGCCATCCTTTTATTAACTCACACTATGGCTAAAGCACCCCTGTTTGCACAGGCTGCCTCGTGTCTCTGGATGGAAATGTCCCTTCTCATATCTTTCTGTTCTCCCTCCACACGTTGCCTTGTGTCCTTGTGTTTTACCCAACCCATAAAGTGAATGTCTCCTGAGCAAAATTTATCCTCAGCACAGTGTGGCTTTTGTGTACCACCATAAGCCTCCTTCCTTCCACCACCTCAGGGGCCAAACATGTGAAACTCTCTGAGCCTTTCCCTTCCATGCCTGCCTCAATTAATCTTCCATGGTCTCTTTCCAAAGCATGACTATTCTATTTTAATTCTCTTCAGCTCCTTGAGCAGTTTCCAAATGGCTGCTAATCAGGGCGTCAAATAATTAAATCACTCTCTTTTGTCTGTTTTTAATAAATTCCCTTGGTCAAACACCAGAGCTGTATTTGCAGTTGCAGCTGCTAGATCTGCATCAATAACTTCATATTTGCTACTATTTCAAGGACTGAACTCTCTCACTTACTTGAGTCTCTATTCTATTATTCTATTCTATTAGGTGCCTGTCTGCTTGTTGCCAGAGAAAAATCTTCATCTTGTCACTGAGTCAAAGGATCAGAACACTCCCAGAAGACCTGAGAGACAAGTCTTTGACCAGAGCATTTAACCAAATGGTAGACATATGATTTAGTTTTAGGTAGTTCTGTGAGGAACAGGGAGTTGGACCTTGCAATCCTTACGGATCCCTTTCAACCTGAGATTCTTCATTTAAAATTTTTCCATTTAAAAGTTTTATTGATACTGAGAAAAACCGATCAATTGAAATAAGAATGCCAGGCAAAAATGATCAGTGTAGATGAGAACAGGAAAGGATTCCCAGTTCACTAATATGTGTTTATATTAAAAAATAAACAGCTTCTTGGGTTGGATCTTAATAAAGAATCCAGAGTTATGTAACAGAAAACAATTCTTCATCAGCCTTAATATCTGGAGCTTTGGAGCCTTTGGGAAACAGTTATTTATAGAGCATAAGAATGAAGGATGAAGGACAAAACGCAGCAGCAGATGAGCTTCCCCTCCCATCAGGAGGAACACATGAACACATTTATCCAGGGGGGCACTGGAATGAGGTTTGACAGCATCCAAACCCTATCCCAGTCCCAAATTCCCTCCCATGAGGCATAAGTATGGTCAGAATTAAGTTTCCTTAATGCTCCATGTCTGCAGCAGAATTGCTTCATAGTGATGACATTTTCTGCTCCGATTCTGCCTTTGTCACATGGGCTATTTGAAATCATAGGTAGGACATTACAGATTTTGGTGAATTTATTTATTGCTATCAGTGATATTTGATAACTGCTGATTTTTTTATTTTCTACCATAAAACAATAACAAAACATTATTTCAATTTGTACCATGCTGAAAGTGAAAAGCTAAAAGTGTTCAACCAAAAAATGTGCAACCAAAATATG